GATATCGTCCTCTTTTGGAAGACCAAACAAAGTAGTTTCGCTTTCACAACGAAGCACACAGCGTCTTCAGGACATGGCGGCAGCGGCAACAATACTATAGTGAGAATAAAAGTTACGCCTTCTTTCTTTGCGTGAACATTTGGGCGGCGTTATGCAAATCTTCCCACATAGTGAGGTAGACATGTGGGGGCGTGTTAGAACGAGCCGTTTTAGGTAGGTGTGGCTGACTCTTAACTTTTAGAAAGAATATCTCTTTGGATTTGAGACTTTAGTCTTTGCAACTTTACAGATCTTCTTTATGCACCAAGAGCTTGTAACACTCCAAAGAGAAAGGAAAAATTTAAATCGCATCATATGACCCCTTTAAGAAAAGTTTTGAAAAGCATTGAACTTTGAAGGTTATATAGTATTTTACACAGCGTTTCTGGTTTGATAGATAGTCAGACGAACAGAGAGGGAACACTGTGTGCGTGTGTGTGAAGATGGCCATTTAAGAGCTCCTGGCTGCCCAGTTTTTTACACGTCAATTGGCCAGATTTTATTGGCCATGTAATTGCCGTCAGTTTCTCTGTGAGGACATTCTCTTCCTTCACACTGTGACACAGACCACCGCCAGCCTTCCTCTGACAGCAGTCACTCTGGCAACCACTTGAACCACATGTGTGAAGAGCGTACTGGGAAAAATGCAGGGAGGATTCCTTGGTGCTAGACATTTCTGAGAAGCTGTCAGTACATTAGCATTTCATTTGAAGTCAGTTGTGTGTAACAAATCCCTAATCAGTTTTTCAATCTGTTGCAACATGGGGATTATTTTTCAGACATATTTTAGACTGTATATCCTTTATACTTTGTATTGTTGTATATTTTGTTGTACTTTATATCTCATATATATGAGAAACACCATCGTTGGAATCACTTTCAAAACTATAAAGATAACTATATTAGCATCCACACCAGCGAACGATATTGTCTGTTTATTCTAAGCGCACGCTCGCGCTTAGAATAAACAGACAATATTGTTCGCTGGTGTGGACACTAATATCGGTATCTCTATAGTTATCTTTATAGTTATCATTCTTGGTGTGAACGGGGCTTTAAACTCACAATGCAAGCAAGTCTACTATTACATCATTTCATTACTTTAAAAGCAAGCTGTTACTGGCATCTATGACGTACTATTTTCAGATTGTTTTGGTTTTGAATCTGCTAAGCTTTTAATGGGACATTAGGTATTAACACTGTGTGTTTGTGTGTTTTTAGGTACAGCATCTCCTACATTCCATTTGCACGGTAAGTAAATGCCTCCTCAACTGTGTTCTTCAAAATTTATATAATTTTACATTTTATCTAAAAACTGTTGTAAAATGTTGTGCATTTTATTTAGGGATGCACCAATACCACTTTTTCTCAGAACAAGGCCGATACTGATCATTTTATTTTTGGTACTTGCCGATACCGAGTACCAATACCTGCATTTTCATGCCATTTGTCATTTTTTAAATACTGTGTGCAGAAACCAAAATAATATGAATAATGTTAGTTGGCTTAGTTCATTTAGCAAATAGATATTTCCTTCAGTTATTGACACACTTAATTATGGCCATTAAAATGTATTGTACAAGCTTTTGTTACTTTCACTGTTCATTTTATTTCATCTTATTTCATCTTTAATTTAATAGCACATTGGAGCTGCTCCATGTCAGAAGCACAGTACTGTAATCACAAGATGTTTTCCTGTAACAGTGCAGGGAACCACTCCTTATACATAAATCGTGTATCAGCAATGAACTTATTTTCTGAAATATGTCACGTTTTTTTATCTCCTGAATCATGCTGCGAGTTATATTCCAAAGCCACACATATATTGCAATTAACCTCAAACAAGCAAAACATGCACAATGCGTGCACACATTTATACTGGTGCAGAATGAGAGAGACACGTACAGTACAACACAAAGTTGTGTATGCTTGACATTTAAAAACAAAATGTGTTTATAGTGAATGTCCCTATAATTTTTGTTTAATCCAAATGATGCGTGTGCTAAGAGAGCAAACAGCAATCAAGATCATGCAACAGAAGTGTGCTCTCTCTCTCTCTCTCTCCTTACGGTCAAGTAACTTTAGTAACTTGTGCATTGTTTTACTTACTTGCTTTTGACATATCCGACCGAACAACAAACCTTCCAGTGAATGTTTAACATCATATTAATTACATACATGCACTTCATAGACATCCTTAATCTCTAATAACTCCATTCTACTCTCTGCTGTTCTGTTGTTTCGGTGTTTCTTTGTCTGGTCACAGCATTGTTCACACGCTGTGTAGTAACGGCTTTTGGTATCGCGGCATTTTAGTGAGTATGAGTACGAGTACAGTATCGGGCAGTATCGGTGCATCCCTAATTTTATTACTATTATTATTGTATTGAACAGATAGGTTCATCACTGAAATATGATTTAATGTTTGTAGATATTGTAAAATAAGGCAGTGACAGGCTGTTCATTCCAATGATTTTAGCATGACAAAGTTTGCTGTGTTGCTTGGCAATCATAAAAGGTGTACAGGTAAAAAAGTTTAAGAGAAACAATATTTGCACTGTTATTGTAGTCCTGCAGCTAGTTAAGCATGATAATATAGCAAGGTTTGTATGGGCTCTAACTGAGATGTGTGACACAGGTTAACCGTGTGATGAGTCAGCCAGACTAGATTAGCTTAAATGCCAGTTTAAATCCCAGTTAAATTCGGTAGAAGTCAGACGTTTGTTTCCAAATGGCAGCGTGTCAGACTGTGACACCCTCTCTCAGTTCATGTTTGTTTGGTGGGATTGGGTTGTGTACACGTGGGGAGCTGAATTCCCTGAATGAAAACATGTTGTTATTTACTCATGGCCTTGCGGCGGTTGGCCTTCACCATATGGCACTGATCCCCTGCTGAAGCGCCGCTCTCCCGGTGCCATGCAGACAGCTGCTTGTTTTTCCACCGCCTCATCATGAGCCTATAGTAAAGTTCTTTATCTGATACCTTAACAAAGATGTGTAAGAGGCATTTTGCTTATCTAGATCTGTTTCTTTGTTTGGGCTGTTTGTGGCAACCTACACTCTCAGGAAAAAAGCTGTCATTGGGGCAGTACCTTTCAAAAGGTTTACTTTAGGTACATTTTATGTACTAATATGTGCACTTTAGGTACTAATATGTACCTTTAAGGTACCAATATGGACACTTTGTGTACAAAGGTGTACCTTGTGTAAAGGTACCGCCCCAGTGACAGCTTTTGTTTTTTTTTAAGTGTACTGAGACTGATTAAATATAGTGTGTTATATCCTGGATAGACAATGTTAGTAAGTTAATATGCAGTTGAAAATTATTATCAATCGTTTATAAATCATTTTTATTAGCCTGCTTGTCATGACCCCTAAAGGGATAGGAGTATACAGGGAGTAAAATTAGCAGTGGCGGCTCATCAGGGGAGGCAGGGGAGGCACAGCTTCCCCATAATTTTGAGGTGAAAATGGGAGGAGGACGATTTAATGTTAATAAAATTCACAATTCATTTCAGTTTAAAACCCACGAGCCGCCACTGAAAATTAGGGGAATAGTTCATCTAAAGTGCAAATTCTGTCATGGTTTGTTTGTGCTGCTCCTTCCATATAGTGAAGTGAATAGGCTGTCAAGCTCCAAAACAGACAGAATAAAAGCACCATACATGTACCATTAAAGGTGCTGTATGTCATCCTTTTTGACTGTACTAAAGCATAAAAAATACTGTAGCATGTTTCCTAAATATCCGCAAAGTATTTCGTTTACATGCTTGTTTCTCTGGAAAAACAATGCTAGAACCAGTTATTCTACTTTGAAATGTGTGTTCCGTGTCGGAATGTCTGTTTTTGTTTTGATCTGTGTGATTCCGCCCACCGTCAATTTACCTAATAGGATTTCAACACCCCGGGGTTGCCAGCTGGTGAAAAACACAGCAATAGCAAATGAGCTGGGTCAGAGATGGCAGATTCTAAAAGCCCTAAAAAGGCTCGGCATCCATCTAAAAAGCTCCAGAGGCATATTAAAACGTGGATAAATAAATTCTTCATCTTACAGTTTAAGGCTTGTCGCCTTCCGTTGTCAATTGCGCTTGTTCCTGTTGCGTGTCCACAGTCTGGTAACCTGTGTGAGCGTCGAGTTTGAGGAGGAAGGGGCGAGAGAAACAACTCTCTCCGATATTTTGAAGTACCCATTTTCACCCACTAGCTGTCAATATCACTGCACCTTTAAAGTAGTGCAACTTCAGCGAAAAGGAAGGTTATCAGTGTATAAGGAATTTTGGTCTGATTAAAAAAAAAAAAAACACGTTACCGTATGCATCACTGTATGATTTTGTTTAATGGAGAAGGGCAGCATGAACGTTCTACAAAATGTCCCTTTTTGTGTTCCACTGAATGACATGAGAGTGAATAAATTACAACCGAAGACAACTAGAAGGATAATGTGGTGAAGAAAACTGCTGGTGAAAATCATAAAAAGGGATGGTGCAAAACAAATAACGTAACAAATCAAAAAAAAAATTAAATCTAGCTCGTGATAACTTTCTAAACTAAACGAGAGGCATCGTAAACAAGTCACAGCACACAAAACATTCAAGGGGCTTTGACTGGAATGTCGAGCTTCATTGGATCTCTAAATAATAAATATTCTTTATAACATATAGCATCTCTTGCTGAACCCGCCAACCCCCCTCCTTTCCTGCCAGAGGTGCTGGTGCGTGTTTCTGATGGATTCTGACAGCCAGGATGCCCCATCCCCCCCAACCTTACACCCTGCCTGCTTCAGAAAACAATTCCTCCTGAATGAGTCCCTCTGTATTCCACCTGCTGCTTTAGTTTCATTCGAAGACCAAACCCTTGACTCTTCTTTCCATTTATCTGTAGATGGTTCATCTGTAGACACCATTGTTTCATTGTTGATTGTTTTCCTAGAGATAGCCGCACCCTTCATCAAGCTCAGTAATGCTGTTGTTGAGTGGCTGGGAATCATGGGTTAGGGCTCTTTTCATTGTGTTTTTGCTGGATTAGCATGAGCAGGCTCCACGTCATGAGCTGTTTACCCCACTGATCTCTGTTTTGAACATTGGGCTGTGCACATGTTTTTTCATGAGCATGCTGCATATCCGCAATCTAAGATCGTGATGATTTTAATGCACTTTTTATTTGGCCATTAAGATTCTTAAAGGCCACGTCATTAGATTAGATTGACTGCCCTTCTTTGTCTCTCGAGTGTTAAGATGTTAAATAGTCCTTTAAACAGTTCACCCTCATCTTGTTTAAACCATGCATGACTTTATTTCTTCTGTGAATCACTAAAGGAGTTTTTTGTCTATAATGAAATTTTGGATGTTTTTCACAAATTCGTTCGATTCATTTCCATGAATCATTCGTCCATTTCAAAATAGAAAATTTCAGGCGAATTCAAAACTAATTCTACGATTTGGAGTAGAATCTCGCAAAAAAGACTGTGACTTTTTTTTCATATATTGAAAGTTTCAAATACTAATAGAAAATACAAATGTTGCTGTACTATTATAGTTTTCATTCATATTTTTAATTATGATTTATATATTTTCTGTTTTTATTTCAGTTAAAGTTTTAGTTATTTTGCTGTTTTTATCATTTGTATTTTTTTTTACGTCTTTTTATCGTTTTTTTTATTATTAGGTTTTAGTTTATTTAGTTTTAGTTATTTTAGTACTTTAAACAAAAATAAGAAATGTTATCTTGGCAACTAGCTAAATTAAAATAAGTTTCAAGCTTTTTATATTTTATTTTTTCATTTCAGTTAATATTTATTTTATTTCAAGCAATAACAAATGTTTTTACTACAATATTTACTTATGAGATACTGAAAATATTATGCTGAAAAATATTATCTTAGCCCTAATATGGCGCTAATGTTGCATTAAACGTCTTGGCAACAATACAGTATATGCCAGCTTGAAATAATGGTTCCCTTGATTAAAAAAAATTATAAATAATATATAAATAAAATCAAAAAGCTTTTTTTAGCTTTATCGCCCAGTCCTAATATCTACCCCTCCTTTTCTGTACTCTCCTTATGTGTAACAACATAACATATTTATATTTGTGGGAATAATATGCTAAAAATAATCCCTTCATGTCTCTGCTTTTGTATTAGCCCAAATGTTTTTTGCTCTCTAATCATTAAGTTCTGGATTATTCAGCTTTTTGAAGGAAATCTGCTCGCTGCACTGGAGAGTTCCGGCTTCCGTTGCTCCGATATTTCATCAGAATGCAGGGGGAGTTAATCATCATTTATTTATGTGCTGTATGTGCAGTGCTTTTAAGGCTAAACACTAAACAGTCTCCTGATCGAGCTGCTGTGTTGGTGCGTATAATGCAGGAGGGATGAGTAACAGATCTGCAGATGTTCGTCAGTCTCCCTCCTTATTCTGTCGTTCTTTTCTCTCTCTGATTCTCTACTCTTTCTTTTAACCTTGACTGCTTTAACGCCTCCTCCACTTCCTGTGAATTTTGAGCATGACAAAGTCTGCATAGCAACACATTTAGAGAGGGTGACAGAGGCAGAGGCGGAGGAGAGAGGAAAAAGTGTGGAGGCTGAGGCGAGGAAGGCACTGTGACCTTGTTCTGCTGTTGCCTTGGAGACCGTGATGGTTACCTCATATTTTAGCTCCATATCAGGACTGGGCGACATCGCTAAAAATATTTTTCAGCCTAATAATTTCATCTCAATATTTATTATGTATTTGCTCTTTTTTTCCTAATAAGACAGGACCATCATTTTCAACCAATAAAAAAAAAAACAAATATATATGATGTGAATAAAATTGAATTGTTTAACGTAAATTACTTGTCAAATCTGATACTGTTCTTGTAACGGAAATTTTAATCTGATACACAAAACATCAAAGAATTGTAAAACAGGTCTAAAAACATGACAAAGCCAGTCAAATAAAATGATCTGTAACACTTTACATTAGCTTTAACTTGCATTAACTAACAATGAGCAACACATTTGTTACAGTATTTATTAATCATAAAACAACTAACATTTATTGTTAGTTGATGTTAGCTCAGATCCATTAAATAATATTAACAGATACAACTTTTATAAATGTTGAAATTAACATTTAGATTAATGAATGCTAAAATAAATGCTTTAGAACAATTTTTTCATTGTTAGTTCATGTTAACTAATGCAATTAACTAATATTAAAGGGTTAGTTCACCCAAAAATGTAAATTAGCCCATAAATTACTCACCCTCAAGACAATATCCATATTCAAAACGTAAATGTAGCTTGCGCTCACTGTTGTAAACGGAAGCAGTTCCGGGGAATGACGTAGGACGTCGGCGTTGCGCATGCGCCGCTCAGAAGTGACGCACGCGGAAACGCAGCAGAGAGATCAAAACAAAACAACGGTCACTAATTAGAAGTTCAAAACGAGGATTTGTAAAGAAAAATGTCGGAGGATTTCGATATAAGCCAAGAGGAGACTGGTTTTCCTTTGCTAAAGTAAGGAAACTTTACTTCCTTTGCTCCTGTAAACAAACGTTGGTTTTCACGAGACTTCACGGCGCATGCGCAACACTGAACTTTTTATTTAACTTCTTTTGGACTGATGCATGCAACACCCGCTGAGTGGCATTAAACAGCTTGAAAGATCAAAGACAATTTTTGATATAACTCCGACTGGATTCGTCTGAAAGAAGAAAGTCATGTACACCTAGGATGACTTGAGGGTGAATAATTTATGGGCTAATTTTTGGGTGAACTATCCCTTTAACAAATGGAGCCTTATTGTAAAGTGTTACCAAATGGTATTAAGGGAAACTGCTGGCCCAAAAAGTTGCATTACAGTCATCAAATTCTAGGGGGGTCGGTCATACAATGGTTTCCCGCCAAAACAAAATGAAATATGCACGAGCTCTGCCCAACTACAAAAAAGAAAAAATCGTTCAAAACAAGCCCCCCCCCCCCTTTTTTTTTTTTTCCCCTCAGAACAAAGAATTAAATTGAATGTTAAGGTAATAAAGCGCATTAAAATGGAGCTATCGGGTTATTTGGGATTAAGTATGGTTTTCATCATCAGTATTTTCACTATCCATCTGTTTCTCTGGATTTTGCTGTGAGCCCCCCATCCATATGTAATACTCTTTATTGAGCTGCCAGCTGTAAACATAAATGTCTTTTTGTTTTCACAGGGATGCTGTTATGAAGTGTTTCACCTCCTGTTTGAGCTAAAGCATCCAGTAATTCATCTGACGACCAGTCCTGCATTGTAAATGTCAAAAAAAGGATTGTTTTTCTCTTTCATCTCCAAACCAGTCTGTTCTCCGCGACCTTAAAATCACATTTCCTCTTTTGTCTTAATATAATACTTTTAAAAGCGCATTGTGTAATATTAAGAGTGAATATGTAATATTTGCATTTATTACAAGCCTTACTGGTTTTTTTTTTTTTTTTATCTTTCTAAGGCTTTTTTTTTGTTATTTTTATTTTGTGTGTGGCGGATAAATGCTTAATAGATGATATACTGCCAGTTAAAACAGTGAAAACAAGTGCCTTGTTATAACATGTGATGTTTCTGAATGAACTCAATTACTATACTGTTCACTTTTGTACAGAAAAAAAAATTCGTTTCTACCAAATATATTAACAAAAAATGAGAGAAAAACCTTTTTATATGATACCATGCACCAAATAAATAAATGCAGTACTCAAGCTTTGTTCATTCATTTTGTGATTTTATTTGTTTGTTCCACAGGTATTTAATATGTCATATGTTATAATCTTCAGCCTGATGTGTTCAGAATAATGATGTGTATAATGTTGGTTGTCTGAGCCCAGGGCAACTCAGACAGCTGTCTCACCGCACACTGAGTCTCAGGAGATCAACTGATGGCATCTAACTCTTGTCTTTTTGTGTGATTAATCTACGAAGCAATACGTTTTTGTTTAATACACCTATACGATTGTCTCTTGCATGCTCAGATATAGGTTTGCTCCTCACCTCCGAGCATCACGTGTTCTTCACATGACCTAATAACCTAGAGTGGCTGGTGTGTTTTTAGACTGCTTAAGCAAGGAAGCAGTGGTTTCCACAGATGCGGTTTCCATGACAACTGTGGGAGTGCTCTGTTTTCTTGAGCATCCCTCCTCCACAGCATACTTCTATGCACAATGCTGATCACGTGTCTGTAATTACCATGGTGAGATTGTGGGTATAGCTGCTGGTGAACCCTCCAGCTTATGGCTGAGAAGATGCTTTAGATTTTACACTCCAAAAAACACAAAGTGTGCACATAATGCTTTATATTAAGAATATATATATATAGGCTGTATATCTGATGTACAGATGTCTAGTCCCAGATATGATATCAGCTCTCAGAGCATTTCACATGTGGCAGCACATCAGGTTGCAAACCATCAGTTTTCATCTTGTATCGTTTTGAAGTAATGATTGAGATTGAGAAAGAGTTGTGCCTGTAATCTCTGTGATTTCATTCTGAAGGCAATCTATGGACGTTGTTTGCGAGAATGAGCCTCTCTTTGTGTGCTGCTTAACAGTAAGGATAAGCCTATTGATTTTTCCCCTCATTTGACTGGGGCTGCTGGAACACTTCACTTTGACTGGGTGACAGAACAGCTGTCACTGAAATTACGAATTGCTGGAAGGGAGGGCGACAGATCGATAACGATGGAGGCCGCTTGTCTTTAGCCTCCTCTGTGTTCTGCCAAGGTCACCAAGGAGAAAATATTGACAGTCAGCAAAAAAGTGCCATCGGTTGCATCTGCGTTATAGCGGCATTCCGATACATCGCTATTTCAATTCTGTTATTCTGTTCTAATTCCTTAAAGAAAAATGGTAATGTGCAAATAATCAGTGCCTCCAAAACTATTAGGACACTTAAGTTTAAATGATTCAATATTCAATATAATAGCTTTCGTGGCGTAACGCTGACTATAGGCTACCAAAAAAAAATGTTGAATTAGAATTAAATTTAAGTAGAATTTAATTGGCCGTTCATTTCTCGGGCCAAAAATAAAATTGGATATAACTATTCAATGAAAAGGTTTATAAATGCTAGTGATTTTTATTTATGTATTTATTAGACTACAGTCATGTTAAAATAATTGTAATATTAACGGATTGGCCCCATTCACTTCTAATGTGTGTGCCTCACTGTAACCTATACTTTTTTATTATTTTTTTTTAAGAAAAGGAAATGGTATGGATGTCATTACATTGGATAGACAACAATATTAAACTGACGCGTTTATTTTGAAGCACAAGCACATTTTCAAGCAGATGTTTTGTTTGGTTTAAATAAAGCAATAGACATAGAGTTAAAAACAAAAGGACAAAAAGGATGTTGTGACATATTCGTGGTTATTGCTGAACTACACAAGTGGTTACGCAGCTAGAACAGTGTGAACTTGGCTGTATTATTTTGTATCGCACTTGTGTGAGCATGGCTTTGTTGTTTTTACTTTTATGCTGTGACCACGCCCCTTCTGCGTGACACCACATAAAGCCCGCATATGCCCCGCCTCTTGTCAGTCTAGAATTGAAATGCTGAGCGAAATGGACTACTGCGTCTAATACCCAAAGATCCGGTGGACCGAGGCGAATGGACCTATTTCTCCCATCATTTACGCACAGATTGCTTCGTTATTTTGCGCACTGATAGCGTTTAAAATGCCTTTTCCGCCGATAAACCTGCACTCACGGATATCATCGCCTAGAAAGGAGCCGTTCGGGAAAAAGAAGAGCAGGGACAATGTCGCGCCTCCTCAACCCACGTTCAGTCAAAGGACAGGAGACGACAAGGAATCGGAGAAAGATAAACTATCCACATCGTGGCCATCGGCCAATTTAAAGCAGCAGGGACGAAGCAAGCCGTCCAGAGTCCCTCCAGATCCCGAGACGGACAGCAAACATTCGTGGTTGAGCGTCCCCAAACCCTTGGCTACCTCATGCGAAAGCGTCCCACGGTCTAGTTCTGGAGAGTCCAGCCATAAATACGCCTCCAGGAACTCTCTAGCGAAAGAAGTAGGCGAGCAAGAGATCCACTTCTCCCTCAGCCTGACCCCCGAAGCCATCCTGGTCATCCAGAAGCGCAATCTGGAAAAGCAGATGATGGCCAAGCAACAGAAGTGCTGCGCTTCCGCGGACTTGCGACAACGGCGGGTTTTCCCATCCAAGAGAGCTCAGGGCAGCTCCAGTAATAAGAGCTCCGGACCTGTTGCCAAACTAGACGGTTCCAATGACATTAGCACCATTGTGAAGATCTCCCTCCTCAACGACCAGTACAAATATGATGATGTGGAGTACGAGGAGGAGGATGGAGACGTGGACGAGACTGTCGTGCGGAAATGTAAAGAGTGGCTCAAAGGTGTGGAGAGTGCTGCTGCTTTTGGGAAAGTCGAGAAACTGTCATCTTTGCCTCATCTTAAATGTTGATAACCTGAACTACTTCGTTCCGCAAAGAAAGGCCCACTGTGAAGACTTCAGTTCATGAGTCAGACACAAAAGTCACATAATATGCTTTTAGAAATGATGTTGTCTAAAGGCTCATTCAGACAGAACGCGTTCTTGCGTTGAAAAAAAACAGCTGTACGGAGCGCAACGTATAGAATATAGTGATGCCTTTGTAAAAGTTCAACTATGTTTACTTGAACACACCGTCTTAAAACGCAAGGCAAGTGTACATAGAGCAACAGTTAAAAAAAAAACTGCGCAAACGAAAAGAACATGTCCTGTGGGGCGCGCTCTTGTGTTCGCAATCACCTGAAAAGCGCAGCAATGGACTATTTTGAACGTGACTGTGCGACTTAAAATCTTGGCACTACGCACAAGGCACTGAAAAAAATTCAAATGCGTCGCAATGTTTACATACACCAACAATTAGACCAAAACTGATAAGGTTTAATGAAAGAAGGCGTGTGTGAACGCTCCGCCGAGTTATTAGAATGGAAGAGAACGCAGAGGCGTTTTATAACTTGAATACACTAGGGTGACCATACGTGCCATTTTCCCAGGACGCGTCCTGGGAAAATGGCACGTATGGTCACCCTAGAATACACGCCATTTAAACTTGATGGCGCAAGATGCGATGCGCTGGCCAAAAATGTCCATATGACGCGGCGCATATAAATAAATACCTTAGACTGAACGCAAGAACCCGTCCTTTGCGTACACACACACACACACACACACACACACACACACACACAAATTCAGCTTGCGTGTATTCTAGGGTGACCATACGTGCCATTTTCCCAGGACGCGTCCTGGCCAGGATTTCTATATTGCCTAAATATCTAGGTTTTGGCTTTGTTTGCGTGTGCAGACCGATCGGTGTATGACATCAAAATACCATACAGACGGTTCCTTATGCTTTCAAAATGCTCTCGAGGTATTTTTATGTCATACACCGATCGGTCTGCACACGCAAACAAAGCCAAAACCTAGATATTTTAGGCAATATAGAAATCCTGCCCAGGACGCGTCCTGGGAAAATGGCACGCATGGTCACCCTAGAATACACGCCATTTAAACTCGATGGCGCAAGATGCGATGCGCTGGCCAAAAATGTCCATATGACGCGGCGCATATAAATAAATATCTTAGACTGAACGCAAGAACCCGTCCTTTGCGTACACACACACACACATTCAGCTTTCATAATGACTGACTGGAATGTTTTTTTTTTCTGCATTGAGAAGTAGGCCTATTGCTGATCACTCAGAGAATTTTTGCAGGTTACCTTTACGCATTGACTGAGAAGCAGTAGTGTTTTTGCAGATTTCTATTGTTTTCACTTTGCTGGGCTGAATGACAGACGTTTGTTTCAATCTGTGAAAGTAATACGGAGGATTAACAGGGACAGGATGCGAACGTCGACCGGTGAAATGCATCCAGAGGCCATGGTCCTTCCTTTGTGCCAGAAAACAGTACTGCTGAAAACGGTCTGAAAGCCTTAGAATAGACACTTAATATCTGAGACTTGTTAAAAGTGTGTGTGTATTATGGACTCGAGGACTGTTTGATCGACGAACCAGCCTTGTACAGTATTTATTCTGCAATGTGGAGGTGTGTTTATATGCTGTGTGTTGTTCCAGGTCATTTTTAAGGGTTCTGATAATAAAATCGAAAAGACGTGTTTTTTTCCCCTTATTATTTGAATGATCATCTGTGAGCAACCAGCAGTTTTAAAATGGCATGCAAATATAGGCTATACTGTAGTCTAGGCCTTGTGTGAATGGTTATATTGGTTCTGCGGTACAGAATCTTCTGAATTGATTGTACACTCTAAAAAATGCTGGGTTAAATACAACCCAGTGCTGGGTAAAATAGGGACAAACATAGCAATTGGGTTGTTTTGACCCAGCGGTTGGGTTACTACCCAGAAGGTTGGGTTAAACATTATAGCAATTGGGTTGTTTTGACCCAGCGGTTGGGTTACTACCCAGAAGGTTGGGTTAAACATTTAACCAAACCGCTGGGTCAAAACAGCCCAGTTGCTGGGTTTGTCCCTATTTTTCCCAGCACTGGGTTGTATTTAACCCAGCATTTTTTAGAGTGTATTATTTGATTTAACATTCCTAATTCTGCGTGTAAGTTCTTTACATCTATATATATATTAAGTGGGTAAAACTTGAGCGCACGACTTGCCTACAATGAACAAAGTGAAATGAATGGGCTACATGCTATCAAAAGGACTGAGGTTGTGAAGCTCGCACCATGGCAACGACCCCTTAAACACAGATCAGACCTGAAACTCATCACACTATTCGCTTTGAGCTCTTTCTGTGGAGTAGCTGAGTTTAATGCTACAACGAACAATACTTAAAGTCATTCAGAAAACGGCTAATTCTTGAGGTTTAGGCAATTGAGTAGGATATATCAAATGTATGTACAGCCATTAACACACTATTGTGTTTAGTTAGCTGTTAGAAAAGCTGTTTGCTTGTGGGGAGATCCAGCCTAGTTACAGTAGGTAGGTTAGTAGGCCTACCTAATATTGAAAACTTCGAGAACTGGTAAGTCTATTTTTTCTGGATTAAAATTTGTTTATGTTTATGTGTTTTCATGAGTAATAACAAAATAACATCAAAATGATGAATTTAGCTAGTTGACTCAAAATTACTGTTTCTTTATAATATATGCATTTGAACATCTTATCAGTTAAGAGTTATTTACCCTGCCACATTTAAGTCAACTGGAAAAAGGTAATTAATATGGTGAAAACTTAAGCAAACTTAGAGCACATCAATTAATAGGCCTACATATTTTAAACTCAAATCTTAATGTTAAACAAGCAAATGAACAAACAAACAAAAAGTTCATTTCCATGTTGTCCTCTTCATAGCTCACTGGGCTGATTATGAAAACTGAAGATGTTTATCATGTCAGCTCACTGCCACCAATCCTGGACTCTTACAAATCAGCACAGTGTCCAGAAAAGGTATGTGCGACTCTGTTAAATAGGACTAACAGCATTAATAGAATTAACAGAATGAAACACTTTTCAGGCAACGTTTCACACAAATGAACCAGAGAAAACAAAAGTTTCTTCCTTATTTTGTCATAAGTGGACAAAATAATAATCAAAATAAATACATGAAAAATTAATACAATATTTATCAACTCACACACAACAGTTATAACACTTAATATACTACTAAAATACTTAATAGCAGGTTTTCTTTGGCATTCATAGCTCAGTTTATGATATATGGACATTTTTAGATACTCTACAAGTTGGGTGAGTTCTTGGAATGCTGCCAATGTCAAAAAAACAACTTTCTTTGCAGTTTGATAGCCTAGTGTGGCAGACTTTTTTTTTTTTTTAATGGAAGTGTATAGAGATCAAGCCAAACACAATTAAGCCACACATTTCTGCATCTGTGTCAATTCACTCCATGGGGTATTGCCTGGGTTCAAAGTGACTGTAATCATCTGAACCTTATAAATCCCATTCTTTTGTGTCCTCATCCTCATCCATGGAAAATAGTAGAAAAGGGAATGTACAAACGAACAACTTCAGTATCTGTAACCCTGGTTACAATTAGCAACATAGTCCCCAGGTTGGCTTCACATGTCGTTTTCAATAGTCAAAGGCCCTTATTCTTTCTACAAACCTTTGCACATTCATTACTCCACTCTGTTAGATGCTTTGTACCCATACTTCAGAGCTTTTTTATATATATATTCTGTCCCAGTTTGTTGGCTCAGGGGGAGCTTACAAGTTATTATTGTGGGGAAAGGAATCTAGATAGAAGTGGAACTGTGCATGGGCTCATGTTTGACCCAATCCAACATATTTCTCAGTGCCTGACAGTGTGAGATGGTCTTGGGAAAATACTGAGATATCATTTAGTTGGTAAAATTATTTGGTTTCATTACCAGTTAGATTCTTCCGCCAATGAGGATAGATCATTGTACTAAAATATTCCAAGTTTTCCCGCACTATACTATTTTGCAGCTCTGCAGCACAATGCTGAATCTATAAAGTGCTAAATATTCAGTAAGTGTAGTCCGATTCCCATACAAATGTCTCTTTTAATAGGACGAGGGTGTACTCAGAGATGAAGGGGGATTAGATCCAAATGCAGACAAAACATTTTAGTACAGATACAGCAAAACAGGACACTGGAATACAAGAAACAGAACAAACATACTAAGCAAACAAGAACTGATTCATGCCTTGATTCACTATAGCTGACACACCACTTCCAGTCATCCTTCAATGACATTTCCTTATTTAACAGACAAGATAACTGTGTGACCCTTCACCTTTTCTTATTGCTGTGGCAACAAACTGATTAATGCTGCCCTCCTCTAAAAGCTCTTTGTGAACGGCCACAAAGCATCCACTTCCTGAACGGGCCGAGCCTGTAAAATATAGCAATGTTTGCCAGCCAGACTGGCCTCTTCCAGAGATGGACACAATGTGAACTGATGAAGTGCCTGTACTTACACAAGAAAAAGGACAGTTTGCTCTTCTGTTTGTGTTACTTATTAAACACATATTTTTTCTCATACTGTCATTCAATGTCGTAAAAAATAAAGCATAATACCATCGGTATTAAACATTATTCTGTATCCACAGGACACCAGTTGCACCAGATGTTCTTAAACCTTTAAAACAATGTAAGCTATGCAGTACAACCTGCACATGTCAGTCCGAGCATTCCTTAGTCAGTTGTGCACAGAAAGAGTTATATACAGTGGGTACGGAAAGTATTCAGACCCCCTTAAATTTTTCACTCTTTGTTATATTGCAGCCATT